AATGACGAACGCTCAAAGTGGATACCTTCTTATGACAGAAGCATTCCGTGAAACACTCAGCCAGTTCAGTCGACGAACTCAATGTCTCTGTCCCAGGTTCGATCACGGTGTTCACCATCCCAACGGTCAATGTCCCTTCTGTAAATTGGCATCACCGGTGCATGGCGAACTGGATCATATCCTGGATCAGCCGGGGTCCTAGGCTCCAAAGGTTGTGGAACAGGAACAACATCTTCATTTCGTTCCAAAGGAACTTCGTCGAGACCATCGTCCATGTCCACATCCGAATCAGAACCTAGTCAGCTTTTCCCCTTGTTCTTGCCCTTGGACTTGTCCTTGGATTTGCCCTTGGACTTGCCCTTGTCGGAGTCTTTCCTTTGGAGGACTTGCTTCCTTTGCCGCCTTCTTTGCCACCGGGAGGTTGTGCGGGTTCTGGAGGACGTTGAGAACCAGAAGCTGTTGCACCAGAAGCTCCCTCTTCCCCTCTTCCTGAGAAGAGCCTGCTCCTTGAGGTGCGGCTGCAGAGGGACCAGAAGAACCAGAACCACGCGCCTTGTTCAACTTCTGCCTCTCTTTCTCCTTTCCGCAGTATACTTCATGCTGTCGCGATGACGGTTCAGCGCCCTCATCCTGCCTCCAGTGTACTGGTTCGCGTGATTCTCGATTAGGAGCGGAGTGTGGGCGTCGTAGTCCCGGTCGTTCAGGAGGTACGCGGCGCTGGTGGAGTTCAAAAGCCATTCAGAGACCTTGATGTCATACTCGGTCTTCTGAGCTGGAAACTCAGCCCACTGATCGTCTCACATGCTGTGGCCCCACTCCATGACTGTCGCCAGAACTGGGTCCAACCCGGGAAAGGTATTCCAGTCAGGTTGCTTGCAGTTCCGGTACGGTCCAACCGAGCGTGTCCTCGTACTGTCGTACTGTTTCAGAAGCCCCATATATGATATTTGCTGAGACGCGTCTCGCTCGAGGCGAGCAGAGGTGCGGGCATTTCGGGCTTTCCGACCGGGCCTCCAAGAAGTAGTCGAGAAGGCTTTGGTAGATTCCGCCACGAAGGCCCATGGACTCCTGCTTTCTGCCTGTGGCTCTGCAGAGAGCCATGTTGGCGTCGCCGCCGATGAGGTAGAGGTGATCGGAAGAGATTGGTGCGCAAGCCCAGTGAGTGTTGAGCCTGCCAAGCGGGTGATGCTGCCGCCGACATTGTTGGTGCGACTCCCCATGAGGATGTCCTGGAGGCATTCTGCAGAAATTGCCACCCACGCGCTGTGAGAAGCTCCTTCTCCGAGTCGTTGATCTCAGAGGCTTCACACAACATGAAGAGGTGTGATTTGCTCTGAGCGGTCGACTTGATCAAAGCCCAAAGCTCCCTTGGATGGCGCGGAGTCGTCCCAGTCAATGTGACTGGCAACGGAGGAAGGTGCAGTGCGTTTCTTCCCTCGGCTCATATTGCCGAGATGACAATGAGAGCAGCGTACTTGGTCTTGCTCGTGAAGATGGGGACATTGGCGTCCTCCGCAAGACCAAAACGATGAATGTATGGATTCGGCATCCTCTCAAGAGAAAGGTCCCCGACCCGATCTCCTCCTCATCGACTCCAGTGCTCAGGAAGTAGTGAAGCATCGCATTCAAGAGTTCTTGCCGAGTTGCTGGATTGCCGCGTTCATCGAGCACCTTCACCTTCTCAAGGAAGGCGTCCAGAACTTCAAGAGCAGATGCACGAACGTCAGAGGCTTTCTCCATCAACTTGTCATCTAAGGTGCTGCGAACGTCCCCCGATCTAAAGACCACATCGAGTCTATCGGGGCGGCGCTCGTAAATCGGAGACATCTTGTTGAGTTGGGCGAATAGGTCTGCTGCACTGAGAGAGGAAACTTTTCTGCTTGCAGACTTTTCTTTGATTGAAATCGGCGACAGGCCGCAGGCCGTGTTTGACATTTGGCAACATCACTTTATTCGATTTAACTTTCCGCCTCCCTTTTTTGGGTGGTTTTTCAAGAAGAGTATTTGGCATGCTTTACAGATCATTGTCGCATGCCCATGCTTCTTTGCATCACTGACAATATTTGTGTTTGTGACGAAGTGATTGCTCGAGCTGAGCTTTTAAAACTTTTCGGGTGGGTCCAGCCATGGAAGGCCGTGCTGCTTCCAGTCGCTTTCTTCGCTGTACCGAACATTACGATGTTGTGCGGCTTGTCTGGATCCACATGTCTCCAGCTGATCGTTTTTACTTTCTGCGTGTCAGCTGGCGTCTTCGAGCCTGCTTCTTCTGCGCTCAGCCTTAGCCAATGAACCATCAGATGCCATTCGAAGCTTCTGAGATGGAAGGTGATTCGGCAGAAGCTCCTTACAATGTTTGGGGGCTGATACAGGATGGTCCTGCCGCAGCCGGGGACCCATTCGAAGAACACCTTGAGGGTCTGCTTCGGGATGACATGGCAGATGTTCAGCAGTCGGACCTCTTGAGTATGGAAGGACGCGAAACCTATGCTGAAGCCGAGATTTTGGATTTTTCTGCAGATGAGAGAGAGTGGTATTCTCAAGTTCAAGACAATGACTTGGGAAGTTTTGAGTGCGTGGAAGAAGAGATACCTGTTTCCTCTTCTGCTGCTCCTCCACATTTGCCAGGATCGCAATCCAATAAGCTGTCTTGGCTTGAGGGACCGATGGCTGAGCTGGACGCTTCTCAACTGGTGGCTGCAGCAGTTCACAAGAGAAGGAGGTTTGAGTTACCACGTCAGCCCTGGGATTCAAAGCCTTCACACCTTGATCAGTGCTCTGAATTTTTCTTGAGGCTTTCGACTTCTGTTGGGGTGAGCGAAACTTTGTCTATGGCAAAGGAGAAGGCTCCTGAGCCTGATGTGTTCGCCCACATCCCTTGGACGGTGACCAGAAGGTTGGCCAAAGCGAGGCTGCCGAAATCGGATGCAGACATAAGGGATTCTTCTTTGAGGAGGTTCAAGATGCTGATCTTGATTGACCCTGAGGCCACAGCCTTAGGCAGCAGCCTGGTCGATCAAGGAAAGGCTATGGAAGATGACCAAGTCATAATGCAGAGCTTGGCAGACGCTTTCAGGGGAAAGGCGTCCTTGACTTTGCAGAAGAGATCCTTATCGCTGCAGGTTTTTGTGGTGAGGTCCTATGATGCTTCGCTTGATTCACCATGGCGACTTAACGAGGCTCAAGTCTACGCGATCTTTTCAGGATTCAGGGAGCATGGTGCAAAAGCTTCTACGGCTTCTCATATCCTGGAGGCCTTGAGGTTCTTTCATGCCATTGCTCGTTTCAAGTACATGGACTTGGAAGCCATCTTGTCTTCGAGGGTGCGTGGCGTCGCACAGGACTTGAAGCTCAAGAAGGCTCCTCTGAGGCAGAGAGACTCTCTCAGTCGTCGGCGAGTGGAGGCATTGGAGCTTCTGATGGAGAGATGCTCTGACTGGACCCGATGTGTAGTCGGGCAATTTCTCTTTTGTATACACACATCATGTCGTTGGAGCGATTCCCAGAACGTTCTGTCTTTGACTCTCACCTCTGATGGAGAAGGCCAGTTGCTAATTGCGGAGGCCCTTGGATCGAAAACGTCTACCACCGTGGAGGCCAAAACGCGCCTGCTCCCGTACGTATGCGTCTCAACTGGGGTGAGCAACACGCCGTGGGCGCAGCTCTGGTTGGAGGCGCGCGAGAGAGAAGGCATCCAGTTTGACCGAGGGTGTTTGCCTTCCTGGTCGCAGAAGTGGGGATGCTGGGGCCAGGAGCGAATGTCCTCAGAGGAGGCCAGTGACATCTTGATCGACATCTTAACCTCTTTGGACATGGCCCCTGGACCTGATGAGTCGATAGGGACCCACAGCTTCAAGACTACCTTGATCACGTGGAGCGGCTGGTCTCCTATAATTTCTTTTACCCCGAAGGAGAGGTTGTTGATGGGACATCATCTCAGGAAGGGCGGCCCTTCTTCGACTCTGATTTATAGTCGACAGTTCTACATCAACTTGTCGGGCAAAATCTTGGCCATGTTCAGGACCATCCGTCAGAACCAATTCGATCCGGATGCCGAGGTCACGGACAGAGTAGCTGCAGTGGCATCGGCGCTGACCGGTGACACGACGGCTTCACAGGCCCGCGCTCCTCCTGAAGATCAGCATGTGGGTGCCGCCGATGTGGAGTCTTCTGAGTCTGCCGAGTCCCTTGTGGGGTATGAGCCGATGCCGCGTTCCGGCCGGGAGCTTAGGCCACCCTTCGAATGCACCGTGGCGGAGCTCCGAGTGCATAGCCTGTCTGGCATTGTTCATCGACTTAGGGATGAGGGCACTTTCTTTTGTGGGCGTCCCCTCACAGACAGATACAGGGACTTCGAGGAAGACGATGCCGATGATCCGGACACCTGCCATCAGTGCAGGCGGGCGATGTCGGGCGCTGATTGAACAGATACTTTCGAACGAAAAATCGGCCGAGCTCGTTGGTGGGATGTACCATTGCGGTTCCATTCATCGCCGGCTTTTGGCCCGTGGCGAGCTTGTGGCATGGCCAATTGCAAAATAGACGTCCCGATCCTTCGGATCCGTGGGACTTGCCTTCCCCATTGAGGAGTGAAGTTCATTCGACTTTGGTGTGAACTGTTGGGGCTGTATAACGTGGCTCCGGAGAATACACATGGCACCGGTCTATGACCCGAGGTGACAGACTGCGGATGCCGGCTCTCCCAGTCCGGGGCATACCGAAAACCCAGACCTTATCTCTTGGAGATGTTGCGGGCTAGATCTGATGTAGGACTGTGAAACACAACCCTACAGTATGCACCGGCCTATGGCCCGTGGTGCCGGAGGTTTTGGCGAACATGCGCAAAGTGACGTTGCTGAAATCACGATGTTAGGGTCAGCTTTGCAGTGGCCTTGCTGTACGTCGAAGCTCGGATCCGGTGCCCGTTGGCTCAGACAGCGACCGAAGCATTCAGCTTCGATTCTGTGTCGGCGGCCGAGCCCGAGTAGCTTGCAGGTCGAGCCATGTCCTCTGTCATACTAGACAGTGAAGCATCATTCCGTGAAAGATGCAGTAAAATAGGCCTCAGCAACGATCTTCTGAGTCGTTTGATTGATGCTGGATACAACACATTTGGAAAACTGGCTTTCGCCGCATCGGCGACGCCGCAGGGCCTAACAGACGAAGCTGTCGATGCGTGGCTATCCACAGTAGTCACCCCGGCACCCAGCTCCTTTCAGGTCTCGGTGATTCGTAGGCTGCTTTTCGAGTCGCAATCACTCAATGTGGCGGACCTCAAATCTAGGGTCGAAGGCACGCCGGAAGGCTCAGTGCGACGTCTGCCCCAAGCCGAGAGAAAGGAGCGCATTGAGGCGCAGCATCGTAGGCTGTCGGGTCTCATTCTAACTTCTCATGCCACACCGGCCCATAGCTGTATCGACCTTGTGACTGACATGTACGAGAATAATACACTCAAGTACATTCCGATCAACCGATGGATATCCCGCTTCCAAGAGATGTCTCTCCAGAAGAAGGATTCTGCCGTTCAGATGGACAACGAGGGCAACCTAAAGGTGATTCAGAAGAAGCCGGAGCCGACGTGCGACACCACAGGCATGTACCCTCTCCGGCAGGCTTTTCAGAGACGGTCACTAGCATTTGATCTGGGTCACTTGTGCAGCTTTGAAGCTATGGAAACTTGGATCAACAAGCTCTTCGAAGCCGTTCAGCGTACTGTGCCGAAGGGATATGTGGCAGTTAGCTTGGGGCAAGTTGTTACGGCAGATCGTGAGCTTTTTGTTCGGTTGGCCGACATGCTTGAAGGACAATTGCAGAAACCCATAGGTGTTGAGAAACCCATGGATGCAGCTTTGCGCGATCTATCGGGTAGCCAGGAGATAACTCAGTTTCTTCAGCCGCTTGTAGCTCCTCCTGCACCTCACCCCACGAAGCGCCCTTTCAAGGAGCTTGCCACGCCTAACAAAGGTGACGGAAAGGGCAAGACATCCACCAAGGGCGGTGAAAAGGGCGGTGGCAAGGCACCCCGTGTAACCATTCCGGATGGCTCTGCGGCCAAAGATCATCAGGGCAAGCCGAATTGTTTTGGGTTTAACTTGGGCACATGCAAGCTCAAGGTGACAAAGGGAAGATGCCCGCGAGGCTTTCACCAGTGTTGGCGATGTTTTGGGGATCACCCCTTTTCCGAATGCACCAATCAGGTACAGTGATGGGGCCATGCGAGGCCCCAGGGGCCTGACCTCGTGGCCACTTCGGACCCTGCCCCTAGTGATGCTGAAGCCCTCGCGCAGGCCATTTTGGCCAGAGGGTCAGGGATTACTAAGCGAGATGTTGTTCAGATTTTCGATCTTTTGCCCAAGGAAATTCCTTCTAGAGGAGCCTCCTCGCAGCCTCCTAGCGTCCTAGCAGTTTCAGTTGTGGGGCATACGCAAAGGGTGGATTACAGGGTCTTCGGAGTGAATGTGCTCTTTTTCCATTCTGCGTCAAGCTCTTCACCACTTTTGTTCGCACTTTCTTGCCAGATCATTTTTTCACGACTATCAGTCTGTTTCACAACACTAAAACCGATTTGCATGTTGATTCCAGGAACCATCATACCCCTAACGGGGTCATAGCCGTGACATCTTTTCAGGGAGGTGGCATCTGGATTGCAGATGGATGCGGACCTCACACACGGTCAATCAAAGGTGACATCGTAAAAGGCTCAATGCTTAGCCTCGAGTCCCCTGTCACTTTCGATGCCTTCAAATACCCTCACGAGACTGAAAGCTGGGTTGGCGATCGATTGGTTTGCGTGGCCTTCACTGTCGCGAGCCTTGAGAAAATCTCAACTGAGTCAGCAAGGACCCTGCTTAATCTCGGGTTTAGGCCCCCGCCTGATCTCTCCTTTCCCATTCCTGTGACTGCCCAGGAACAGCCGCCTGTGAAATCAGACTCCTGGGTTTACGAGCTTTTCGCTGGCAGTGCCCGTTTCAGCAAGGCTTGCAAGGATTTGGGTTTTCGGGTCTTAGGGTTGGATAGTTCTTGCTACCGAGCAGTCTCTCCCGTAGCCAAGCTTGATCTGACCTTAGATGCAGCACAGGAAATCTTTTGGGATCTCATCAAGGAGTGCCCTCCTTTTCACTTGCATGCATCGCCCCCTGCGGGCACGGCTTCTCGCTCGCGCGAGCGCCCCCTGCCAAAGAAACATGCCCTTGCCTCTAAGGCCTAAACCTCTGCGGTCCGATGATTTCCCGTTAGGCCTGCCGTCATTGAGTGCCGCGTCTCAGCAGAGCCTTTCGGTGCGTAAAGACAACGTCCTGTACCGCTTCGTCTACAAGCTTCTCCTTCATTGTTCTGCTTCGGGCATCAATGTCAGCGTTGAGAATCCTCGGACTTCGTTGTTCTGGAAGGTTCTTCAATGCTTTGCTGAGGCCGACGGCTTGCTTTGGCCTCCCGCTGCCCTGGAATACGTTGATTTCGACCAGTGTTGTCATGGTTCCGATCGACCGAAGTCAACTCGTTTCTTGTGCACTCGAGGCTTGTTCACCTCGCTTCGAGCTACTTGCCCAGGCAATCACGAACACCGCCCGTGGGGCCTCGTGTTCCATGAGCGTTCTATGCAGCTGTCATCTTCTCTTGTGTCGGCTTACCCAGTTCTGCTTTGCAAGCGTATGGCCTCCTGTCTGGAGAGCGCGGCTTCTTTCATGGGTTTGTCTTTGCAAGCATCTCCTGACTTGGCAGCCAGCTCCGTTGCTGTTCTCGGTCGGCAGCATCGCCGCTTCCCTCCTTTGATTCCTGAGTTCCGCAAGGTCACGTGGGAGCCGCCCTCTTTCCAGCCTGACGATTCTTGTCGCATCCTTCTCTCTCAGGCTGCTGGGGAGGATAGCGGGAGAGAGAAGGCAGCCGAAGACAGCCATGCAGTTGACAATGTAGCTGTGTCTGACGGTTGGGTTGCTAGTGATAAAGCGGTATACCCTCCTGCTAAGCTCCCTAGGGTTTCGGATGAGGCTTCCAGCAAGGTTCCCTCAGGTTTCCTTAAGAGTTCCGATCCGCCCAAAGGCTCGGTCAAGGTGGGGTGGTACTTGTCAATGCAGGATCATGTTGCAAAGGCCTTGACGCTAAAGCATCCCGTCGACACTGCCGTAGCCCTTGACCAGGATCAGCTCGATGCAATCAGCTTCTGCATGAAAAACACTGAGAAAGAGGTGGTCGATCATCGAAAGCTTCAGCTTCTGAAAATAAAGATTCTTGCCAAAAAGTTCGAGGCCGACGAAGCTCGATTACATTCTTCGTTCGACCCCTGGTTCGAAAAGGTTGTGGCGGGAAAGCGTCTTCTTCTGTGGAAGCATCTTCTTGAGCAGAACGGTTTTGACGACATGCAAGTTTGCGACTTCATGATGTCAGGCGTCCCGATTGTAGGGCAGTCAGCCTGCCCTCAGCCGTTCAACCGAAAGATTGTGCCGGCTACCATGTCGGAACAGGATCTCAAGGGCACGGCTTCGTTCCGCCGAAAGGTGATGCTTGGGTCCAGTGGCACGCAGGCGGCCGACCTTCAAGAGTTACTGTCGAAGGCTACCATGGACGAAGTCGATCTGGGCTTCCTGGAAGGCCCTTACACCGAAAGCCAAGTGTCTTCTTTCTTTCACTCAGACGATTGGAACTGCATACGATCGTTCCTAATCCTTCAAGGAGCCGAGAACAAACCTAGACCCATTGATGACGGGCACGAGGCTTTGATCAACAACTGCTTTACGGCCACCATCAAGTTGGAGCTCCAGAGTTCCGACTTCGTTGCAGCTCTAGCGGCAAGAATTGCCATCGAGGAGGCCGAGAGATCACGCGCCACGGGCGAGCCCCCTCGGTCGTGGTTGGGCAAGTGCCTTGACTTGTCGAAGGCGTACAAGCAGATGCCAATGAAGAAGGAGCACCGCTCTCTTGCTGTGATCTACCACAAAGGCCCTTCTGGCGAGGATCAATTTTTCATTGCAAATTCGCTGCTCTTCGGTCTTACTGCTTCGGTTTATGGGTTCGTGCGAACGAGCAGAAGCCTTCACAAACTGCTGCTGAAGATATTCAAGCTGCCCAGCTCAGTGTACTTTGATGACTACCCGATGTTTTCGACATCGCTTTCTTCCAGTGACACTGATGGCATCATCAGCGAATTCTTAGACATTCTGGGCTGGGGCCACGCCAAGACAGGCAGCAAATCACATCCTTTCGCGGAGGTTTTCTCCGTCTTGGGAATGCAGATTGACTTGAGCAACTTGTCGAAGAGAAGCATCGTCCTCTCGAACAAACCTGGCAGGATCGATCGGATCGTGGAGAAGCTTGAATCTGTGGCTGCTTCTGGTTTCCTTACGGTTCATCAGGCTCAGATTTTGCTGGGCTTGCTCAACTTTTCATCTGGTTTCTTTGCCGGTCGTGCCCTCAAGCATTCGTGCAAATGGCTATCTGGCTTTCTGGCTGGAGACAGGCCTTCGCCAAAGACCGTCAGCGAGATGTGCAAGCACACGATCAAAATTCTTGTGAGCACGCCGCCCCGCTTCATAAGCTGCGATTCGACCGGAGAGCCTCCTATCCTGGTGTGGACTGATGGAGCTTGGGAGCCTGCCAAAGCCTTCGCCGGGATCGGTGCAGTGATTCTTGATGCGAGCAGCGGAGTTTCCAGAGTTTTCCAAGGACAGGTCCCTGAGCGCCTAGTGGTTCGCTGGCGAGAGGAGGTCGGGGAACAAATCATCTGTGAGGTAGAGCTGTATGCCCTCTTGATGATCAGGGCCTGCCTTCAGAATTTTCTTTCAGGAAAGAGAATCATATTCTTCATTGACAACGATGCCGCTAGATCTGTGGTATTGCGTGGTCAAAGCAGAAGTGACGCGATGCATCGCTTGGCCATGGCCTTGTCTATGGTCGAGGCCGTCGCCCCTTGCATCTCGTGGATAGAGAGGGTGCCATCCTCTTCGAACATCGCCGACTGGCCCTCTAGGGGCGAAGGTTGGAAAGCACAGAAGGTCGTTCGTGCGGCAGAGGTGGAGCCTTACTTTGTTGATCAATCTTTGATTGACGCCTACCTGCTCTGAGTTCGTCGATCCGAGGGGGTGTGTTCGGGACAAACTCTGAGCGGCTTCAGGCCCGTGCTCTTCGCATCGGCTGCGGCCCGGATGCAATGGTTCCCGAATTCCGAATTCGTTCAAACCCCTGATCGCTGAAGAGAAAACGAAGAGTGCGCGACCTTCTCTGCTGTCAATTTTTAACTTGACCGGAAATACCATTGAGCATCGAGCTCGACTCTTTTGATAGAGTCACATTCATATCGAGCTGGATTCATTTGAATATATCGGATTGCGAAGTTTTTTTTTAAATATTCTTATTGTGAATATCACTGAGATAATACTTTGTACAGGATCGTCGGTAATTGCCTTTCTCAAACATCGCTGATTTTAAAGAAGAAACTTTTCTGCTTGCAGACTTTTCTTTCTTTGAAATCGGCGACAGGCCGCAGGCCGTGTTTGACATTTGGCAACATCACTTTATTCGATTTAACTTTCCGCCTCCCTTTTTTGGGTGGTTTTTCAAGAAGAGTATTTGGCATGCTTTACAGATCATTGTCGCATGCCCATGCTTCTTTGCATCACTGACAATATTTGTGTTTGTGACGAAGTGATTGCTCGAGCTGAGCTTTTAAAACTTTTCCCCGCCCGCCCGACCCGGACATCTATGGGGGGGGGGGTGTGTTCGGGACAAACTCTGAGCGGCTTCAGGCCCGTGCTCTTCGCATCGGCTGCGGCCCGGATGCAATGGTTCCCGAATTCCGAATTCGTTCAAACCCCTGATCGCTGAAGAGAAAACGAAGAGTGCGCGACCTTCTCTGCTGTCAATTTTTAACTTGACCGGAAATACCATTGAGCATCGAGCTCGACTCTTTTGATAGAGTCACATTCATATCGAGCTGGATTCATTTGAATATATCGGATTGCGAAGTTTTTTTTAAATATTCTTATTGTGAATATCACTGAGATAATACTTTGTACAGGATCGTCGGTAATTGCCTTTCTCAAAGATCGCTGATTTTAAAGAATACTTTTGCCCCTTGTGAGGCGGTGCGTTGACCCTCCAATTCATATGTTCCCACGTGTGGTCGCGCAAGCCGGTGTGATAAAGGCCACTGTAACCATAACCACGTGCTTGCTTGGAGAGCAACCGCATGGGACTCTCACGTTCGATGTTGACGAGGTCGGCGAGGAAGTGCTTGTACTCGTCGGTGTCGGCGAGTTCGATCTTCTCCTTCGCCTTCCCCATGTTCTCGAACGCGTTCTCGTTCTTCTCCTCTGCGTCCTTCGCGGCCTTGTAAAACTCAGGATCAGGGACATTCTTGCATTTCCCCCAACGAAATGTTCCTGGAACGATGTGTGCGATGTACAGCAGTACACAACGGGTCGACTTTGGCTCAAGTAAAAGGGTGCATCTATGCTATGCTATGCTATGCTCTCGGCGCCTGGTGACTGAAGCCTCAAACACGTGGTTATCAACCGTAACGGCTCTGGGACTTGACTGCATTTGAGCACCTGTGGTTCCTTCTCCCAGTGTATGGCCGAGAAGTTGGATAGCACAGGAAAGCCGTTTCGCGTTCGAGAGCGCGGAGGGAAGAAAGCTCACCAACAGAAGGTCAGACAAGAGAGGGTGGATCAGGGTTTGGTGGTTCCGCTTGTTTGGTGGGATTCGGAAAGGGTTGAGAGGGCCAGGGCTTCTAGGAGCCTTCCCGAGGCCCCTACTCCCGAGAACCCTAGATCCCGAACGCGATCCCCAGCACGGCCCCCATCCGAGGCGACTCTGCTGCAACTGCGGCCAGCTCCAGGGGCGTCGGCAGCAGTAGAGGGTTTTTCGGAGGTTGGGGTTGGTTCGGCGGGTTCGTCTTCGGTGGTGTCCCCGTCCCCTCACCCTAAAGATTCCGGCTCGAAGCATCTGTCCGAAAGCGGAATAGCAGAATTGAGGCCGAACGCCAGAGTTGAGCATAGATCCAGTGCTTCTTCCTCGTCAGCTTTGGACACGAGTTACAGGGTGATCTTTGATTACCACGGGGTGTTGGACGACTGCGACGACAACTTTACCCAAACCTCAAGGAAGTTTATACGCGAGCTTCTGGACTCATCCCCCTTTGTTGAGGTTCTCATCTTGTCGTATATTGGAGTAAGCGGTCCTCATTCGCAAGCAAGGCGAGCAAACTTGCAGCGACAGGCTTTTGAGTTTCAGCGCTCTTTGGGACGTGCAGGCTCACGGTTCGGTGTAGCCATTGTTCCTTTCAAGAGACTTAAGGCTCTCGTGTGTAGGGACACTCTCCCGGTGTTGTTTTGCGACGATCAGAAGCCCCTTGTTGATAGTTGTAGACCACACTGCAAGTTGGCGGAGCAAATTGGCCCCCAAAACTCGCTGGAACAGGCTGTTGCAAAGGCAGAGGCTTTGAGAATTCCCCCATCGGTCACTCCAAGGGCGTGGAGGGAGCTTATCCAGGCACCCATCTTGTGAAGAAGGAGTGTCATCATCCTCTTCGTGCAGCTGCCTCTACAGGGTCATCTTCGTACATCGGCGTTCAGCGTCTGACCTCGGTGATTCTCCAGTTCGCCGCCAACGACAACACGAACAATGGACGACACTGAGACTTCATTAGAGGTTTCTAGTTCCACGGTTGACGGTCTCGTGGCACGTGGCGGTTCGCGTGCTGGGTCGTCGTCGTCGTCGTCCGTAGTGCGGAAATCTCACATCAGAGGTCCGAGAGAAGGTTCGGGAGTAACAAGGGGTAGAGCTCTGACAATGTCCTCGTCTTCGGAAGGGCCTGCGCGTCGCGCGGTCTCCGGGGGTGGAGGGATGGAAATCGCAAATACAGAGCTTGAGACGGCCCCGCCGGCTCCTCAACCTTCCTCGGTAGAGCGAGGGCCTCAGCCAGAACCACAGATTGCAAGAATCTTCGCAGCTAGGCAGGGTGATCATGTGGAGAACACTCAACACAATCAGAGCTTCCATGACGGAAGGCGGGTAGATCTCACACAGAACATTCTGCAGCAGGTAGACCGGCGTCAAGTCCATGTGCATACTGATCACAATGCGGTCTTGGAAGCTGCAGCGGCCGTCACTGTAGCAAATGAGCGTGTAGCTGCAGTAGAAAACCAGGCGTTGCAGGCAGTCCTTGAGGCCAGAGGTCAAGCAGAACAAACGGTAGCACAAGTACAAGCGCAAGCCGAGGTGTGATCTGTGAGATTCGCTGCGGAACTTCAGTTGTCACATCAAAGAGAAAACGTCTTGAGAGAGCAACTCGAGGGAACCAGACAACAGCTCGCAAGAGTGCAAGAGCAACTGGACGAGGAAAAGATGCGAAGATTCATAGCCGAAACCGAGCAGAACAAAAATCCTCACAAGTTGTATGCACAAACCGCCGAAACCGACCAAACCAAAAATCCTCACATGTTGTATGGACCCCAAAATGGCGCGGGAAATTCTGAAGATGACTCCTTGTTGCGTCGGTTGGAAGTGGTTGAGCGCGAACAAGTTCAGATGCATGACCTTTTGCAAGAGTTGTGGAGCGAAGTCGTTCAGTGGAAAAGTTGGTCACCGGCAGTCCAAGGACCGTCAGAACAAGGACCAACGACAGAGCCACAACTCGCAGCTCCGCAATTCCACCGCATGCATTCGGACACAGATGACGATGAGGATGTGTTCGCCACACGCGTGCGTGCAGGAGACCACTCACCAGGCACCACACCCACACATGAAGATGTTGAGTCGCAGCATGTGAAACAGAAGGATTTGCATTACTTGAAAGTGCCATCCTTGCCAGAGTCAGCTGGTGCGTTTCGTGCATGGCGCAACAGCATGGTGCCGTTGATGGCTTCGTTTGACCGTTCGCCCCATGGTTCAGTCCACGATTGGATTATGGAAGCGTTTCGTGCTCGGTCAGATGAAGAAATTGCACGGTTGCAACAGTCATCCGGCGATTATCCGCGGTTTGACCGTGTTCTTGCCAGCGCCTTGACTCGACCAGAACACCTCAAGTCCCACTTCGGCCTCAAGTTCCAGGCTTTTCTGGAGGACTCAGAAGCACTCAACCGGCCGTTGAGGGGAAGGGTTCTGTTGAACATGGTTGCGCGTGAGTTTGACACGGACTCTACGTACGGAGCTGTGGTTTCTGAGCTTGAGCTGTTCTCCTTGCCTCCACCCGAGGGCTCCGTTGCTTCGCTCAAGGCCTGGAGGGATAAGGTCCGATACATTTTGGGCCAGCTCCCCACGTCAGAAAGGCCAGCGGAAAAGCTGATGGCAAAGTGGTTGTTTGAAAGACTGAAGAAAGTACCAGCACTTCGTAGACACACGGACCGCGTGCGCGATGCTGCTGAGGGTACTCCGGAGCGTTCGTTTGAGTGGCTTTGGTGCCGTCTTGATCGTACAATCCTGGAAAATCAGCAAGAACAAAACCTACAGTCCATCCAAGAGGCTTTGAAGAAAGGGCCAAAGCGTGAACAGGCAGGCGGTGCAGCAGCACCGACGGCAGAGCAGAAGCAAAGGGAAGCGGAAGCAGCGAAGGCAAAAGCGGCAGCAGCCAAAACAGCACCCAGCAAAGCAGACGCCAAAGGTGGCAAAGGTAACAAGGACAACAAAGGCAAGGGCAAAGGGCAAGGCAAAGAGGATGGCAAGAAAGGGGGTGGTAAGTCATCAGACCCGAACGTGAAGAAAGCCTTGTCTGAAGGTCTCTGTTTGTTCTTCCAGAAAGGAGCGTGTAAGAGAGAGAACTGTCCTTTCAAGCACGAGCTCGTTGTTCCGGCCAACCCAGCCCCAGACGCTAAGGCCAAGGCAGCTGCCCCGAAGGCACCCACCAAGGCAGCAGTAGCACTGGTCATGGCGGCAATGGCCTCAGGAGCAGCGGCCCTTTCACAAGGACCCACCTGCACTTTGGATGTCATCGCGGACACCGGTGCGGGAGAACACTTGGGTTCGAAGGAGGCTTTCCGGGAACAAGGGGTCTCCGAGAGTGTGTTTGATGCGTTTTGCGGCACATCATCACAGAGCATGGCCTTTGACACAGGCGGTGGTAAGA